TAAAATTTGAGAAAATTTGATCAAGTATAGACAACAAAACGTAAAGCCTTAAAATTTGCATTTTGTCAACTTTATTAAGTGTTTTATATGACAAAATTACGGAGTCGGTCGGATACTTTTTTAAACCCTTTTCACGAACTAATTTATGCCAACACCATATTGTGGATATATGTAATCTGTTACGTTGAGCATATTTTATTAATGAAATAATATATACATTACAATGAAGAAATTTGACCTTTATTATATATGTAAAGATTCCGATTGAAAATTTGCTTTTTTGGACTATTTGCTAAATGTTTCCATTAATACCATACCGAACCTTTCGAAGATTTTGTAATTTAGAGATTTTGATATCAAGTACAAGTCTACTTAGTAAAGTAAAAACGGTTTTATTTAAGAAAACGTTATTTTTTTTTTAGTAAGGACTCTTTTCATTTGACGTTACACAACTTGAGTGGTCGGATTACTTATGGTATGTGAGTGTCCATTCACCATATTATATTGTACTCGGATAATTAATTGACAACTATTAATAAAAACAAGTATTAATAATAGATAAGAACGTTGCATCTACCTGCAGTCTTTCTTAAATAAACAAAAATAGTCTTTATTCATAATAGAGTAAGAAATTATTTACCTGTGATTGTATATAAAAATAGTTTAATAGTTCCATAAAGAATACCTCTTTTAAGTATTGACGTATTAGAGATGCCACATGTTTTTTAAACAACAATCTATGCTTGATTTTACATCTAATGGTAGAGTCTCATATGCGATTGTATTGGAAAAAAGTTTTTTTTTTTAATAAAGCGAAGTTACTATTTAAATTCCTTTGCTTCTAATAGGAATTTGTGAAAATTATTTCATTAGAGATGCCACTATATTTTTTTTCACAATGTTTATTTGAATATTATTATAATAATTTGTAAAAACTCATTTTTATTATATATACCAAAGTACTTTAAAAATTATATAGTCACACAACATAATTTCGAGATCGTCACGAAGTGATAAACGTGATAAATAGATATGATAGGCTTCAAAAATACTGACAACAATTTGGAACAAATTATTTTGCAAATCTTTTCCAAAATTGACAATTAGAAGTTCAACGTTAATAATATTTTAAAGTTAAAAATGGGAAAATCATCAAAAGATAAGCGAGATATCGTTTAGCAAAAGAATAAGGATGGAGAGCTAGAAGCGCTTTTAAGTTATTACAAATTGATGAAGAATTTAATATATTTGAGGGCACAAATTTGTGATATACTTTGTGTTTTAGTTGATGTTTTATAAATTGAAAATTCATTTTATTTTAGGTGTTCAACAAGCAGTTGATTTATGTGCTGCTCCTGGTAGTTGGTCGCAAGTTTTATCTAAAAAATTAAAGTAACTAGATAAATAAATAATATCTGGCTGATGAATATTAGGTATCCTTTAAAGATGCTCACTCAATTAATGTTGACATATATTTCGATAGTGAGAACCAGCCTGAAAATTTACAAGCGCCAAAAATAGTTGCAGTGGATTTGTAAGCAATAGTAGCTAATTGATAAAAATAATATTATTTCAAATTAATCATTAAAATTTGATATTTAAAACTAGGTATCACTTGAAGGTGTCATAC